AATAGTGGCAAACCATTTCACTTTGAAATGACGTGCTATAGATATGACCGATATTGTATGTATGCTTCCTGATTTATTGCTAGATTCACGAAAGCAATTTAATTGAAAAATTATTATTTTTTGAATTCAATGTGGATACTGACAGAATTTTTCACTTAAACTGCTGGTGGAACCGCCAGATAAATAAACTTAAAAAACGTACCTTTTTTTATGTAAAACACAAATTTTCTCTAAAAAACTCTAAGGTTGCATAAACTAAATTTTGTTGTAAGCTAACTTTTTTCTAAACGTTATTATTTTGTAACACTTTTGTTTTTAAACAAATTTTACGAAACAACATAAATTTCGTAAATCTTTAAATTTTGAAGATTAAAATTCTTAATAAATTTTTAATTATTTAAAACTTCTCTAATTAGTCGAATCTAAAAATTCCAAACTTTTTATATAAACTTTAAGTTTTTGGCTTCGAACTAAGCCTTAAATTTAACTAAGAAATTATTGTTCATAAAATTTTGTTATGTTTATTTTTTTCTTTTATAAAACATTTGTGCTTAGATAAATTTTACGGATAAATCCAAATGTTGCGAAATCCGTAAATTTTGCAGTAAGCCTAATGCCGCATGTACACTTAGTTTTAAATAAAATTTTTTTTTTAAACATAATTTTTTCTGTTACATTCCAACTTTTTGTTAAATTTCAGCTTTTGTTAAATTTTTGTGAAAACGTAAGTTTTTTAAGTATAATTTAAGTAGTTCAATAAAAAATTTCATTGAATTATTACATTTTTTCCTGATTAAAAAAAAAAACATGATTAAATTTTAATAATTTTATAAAATTTCAGTTTTTAGGTTAAGTTTTTTGGCACAATTCAGAGTTTTTGTAAGCTGACATTTTTGGAATTATTTTCTGTTATAAAGCTTCTAGTGTTGCATAAGTTGCACAAAAAATATAACACCAGTAAAAAAGCGTAAATTTTGACATAGAACCTATATTATTTGCCAGCATTGTAATATTTTTAGTGAAAGAAAACTGCAATAAATTCCAATCTGTTCGATCAAATTTCAGTTTTTGGTTAAACTGTTTTTGAAACTTTTTGTGTTCAAACATAAAACTTTTAGGAATAATTGAAATAGCTTTGTCAAAATTTATGTTGTAGCACCAAGCCATCTATTTTTTAGTTTTTTCTTTAGTATTAATAAAATCAGATTGACTTGAGCTCCAATACAATTTTTGCCAAAAAACAATTTGAATTTAATAAATATTTTTATATTAATTTTTTTATAAAATTCCAATTTTTTGCTCAAAGTTTAAGAAGTGCTTGGCAAACTGCCGATTTCATCAGCAAATTAAGTGAAACATGCCTTTTTTCCTTTTGTCAGTTTTCATATTAAATTCAAATAAAAAAAGTATTTTTCGCTTTAATTGCTGGTGAAACCGACAGTTAGCCAAATACTACATAACATTTGAGCAACCACTTGATAAAAAAGGAAAACAAATAAAAAGATGAAACTGGACTGGAAATATTAATTTGAGTAAATTTAAATAATTTTTTACTTTTTTATTTTTTGAAATTTTAATTTAATGCAATTTATCTTAATTATTTTCTAATTACCCGGAGTACTTTGTGACCAAATTTACTTTAAATTACTTTAAATTTCTGATTTGTAGTTTTTTAGTATTTTCTTATAAACCTTTTGACAAAATTTTAGGTGAAACATTAACGTTTTGTAACGGAATCATTTTGAATTTTAATATATTTTTTTTAATTATTTGTTTTATTTTTTAATTGTTTGTTTTTATTTCTAAATTTTCTTTTCTTCAGTTTTGTGGTTAAATTTTGTGTGAAATATTAACTTGAGTGTTTTAAATAGTTTTTTTCTTTTCATTTTTGCTTGTTTAATTAAATGTAATTTTATTTTTTCTACACTAGTTGGGATACTTTTAGACAAAATTTCAAATTTCTATTTTTTTATTTTCTTTTTTTTTTGTTTTAAATATATTTTGATTAAATTTCAACTTTGTGACAAAATTTCAATTAAAATAATAACTTTTTAAAACATAATACAATTTAGTTTAAATTTTTTTATTATTATTTTTATATTGCAAGTGCTTGTTTTTTCACATTTTTTTAAATTTCTTTTAATAAATTCCAAGGTTTTGCTCAAGTTTCGATTTTTGGTTAAATTTTGGGTGAAATATTAATTGTTACTAAAATTTAATTCAGTCTTAATTATTATCAATTGTATTTTTTTCTTAAATTTCAGGTTTTGAGTAAACGTTGTTCAAAACGCCATTTTCACCGGAATTAAGTTTAATTTGTTTCATCAATTTGATTTATGAATTCTTGATATTCTATATTATACAATTTTTTGAAAAATTTCAGTTTAAAAATAATATTGCTTAAACTTACTGCAATCACCTTGAAGTCCCATCCAAGCCAAAATTACCATACGACCAACCCCTTCACAAGCCTTTCACTCACTTAAATTTTTCATGGAAAAAATAAATTTGCATAAGCGTGTGTATGTAGTTCAGCATTTCTGCCGCAATGCAATGCGCCAAACAAGCGAATAATAGCAACGAATGCAAAAACTGGAAGAAGAGAGGGAGCTCATTTGTGTTGAAACAAAAAAATTCTAAGTGCCATTGACCTCGAATGCATTTGCCTGCAAACGAAAATCCAGCAAAAAAATGTGAAGGGCCACCTGCCCACTTTGCTTAACGGCTACACAGTCAAGCAAATAAATAGCTTTCCATACGCCTACGTCAGCTACAACATTTTTTCTTGTAGTTGCTAGGTGGCAGTGGCAACTAACCTAGCGGCACCACCTGCCGGGTGTATTTTTTACACTTTATGTTGGCTTTTTGTACTCGGTCGTAATACATACAAAGCAAATATATGGTGCTACGGATAATCACTGATGAGATAAAGCAGCAAAGATAGTAGATAGCTGGGGGAAGAAACTACTGTGCCTAAATCTCTTCCTCAAGATAGTTGGAATCTGATGACGATTACCTGATGGGGGCTTTGAGACGCTTGGGCTTAACAGCATGCCACACTTGCAAGTCAAGCTTTCATGGAAAACTTCAAGGTATTTCATGCTATTGGTATACTATAAAAAGTTATATTCAATCTAAACGCCCATTGTTCACAGCCCTTTGATTAGATTTTTAAATAGCATTGCCATTTACAAGCAAATTGTTGTTAAATTCAATGCCGTTATTGTTTATCGGTTAATACTTAAAGTGAGCGCATACACGCAACACGCGATACCGGCTGGTCCGACCAAATTCAAACGAGTGAATTGAGGCACGCGGTGAGAGAGTTTGTATGCCAATAAAAGGACAGTGTGAAAATGCTGCCCACAAAGCTTGGCGAACTTCAATCGAGGACTGGTTTTATTTTCCTAGTCAGTCTATTCTTGCTGAACTGGAGCGCGTTCTGTGAGGAAAAAAGTTCCACGGAAGACGATTGCGCTGCGATCGCCGCTAATAGCACCTGCAATTGCACCTACAACGCCTACGAGTCGGTTGTGATTCACTGCAGCGCCAGGTATGAAACGGCTAACATACGGATCACAGTGCTTGATGGAAAGAATGTAGAGATCAGTTGCCAGGGTCGCATTGGCGTGGGCTGCAATGTCACGCATCCCTGCATACCCGCAGAGCTGCTCGCGCGCTTGCCGCCCTTAGGCCGCTTGCACGAAGTCGGCTTTCTCAGCGTGCGATACTGCTTTCCCTTCAGTGAAATTTTGAAGCAGTTGTCGTTGGGGCAGAGCGACATCTTGCAGGTGCATGGCTTGGAATTTATACCCTTACTACAGCGGCGGGATTTCGGCAAGGACCAGATGATGCTGAAAGAAATAGACAGCTTGGAGTTATTAGCGCAGAGCTTACATCATTTTCATGACGAGGAATCATTGACGCTGGTCGCACAATTACCATCGAGCGCGTTGCCTAAAGAGCAGCAATTAGAGGAAGATATTTTGGGCGCTTTCGTCCAGCTACGCTCACTGACAATCGATACGCATTTCAAGCAGTTGCCAGTTGGTATCTTTCGGCCAGTGGCGCGCACCCTAAGTGAGCTGTTTTTGCTAGGATGTCTTCGAGAGTTTCCGCGCGTTGCAATCAGTGCGCTACGAAACTTGAAGCAGTTGACTATGTCGGGCCACCAACTAGAGTCGCGCTTGCGCGCAGATGATTTCGACGCGCTTTCCACACTTACAGAACTAACGTTACGCCGTTGTGGCATTATAGCGTTGCCTGCGCGTATTTTCCATCCACTAGCCGCAGTGACGCATCTAACTTTAACCGGAAACAAGCTGCGCATGCTACCCGCTATACTATTGGCGCAACAGCGACACCTACAGTTATTGGACCTCAGTGACAATCAGCTGGAGGCGTTGCCGGCTGGGCTCTTCGCGTCGACAACTGCGCTGAAAAAGCTTTATTTGACATATAATCGATTGCGTCGCCTAAGCGCAGATCTCTTTCCACCGCAAAATGCCCTTGTGGAGCTCTATGTGGATTTGAATGAGTTGCGCGTCATTGAAGTAGGCACATTTGCGTATGCGCGCCACCTGCGTGATTTGGTACTAAGTCACAACAAACTTGACTGGACGAGCGCTGAATCATGTGTTGTACTCGAGGGAGTACGTCGCTTAGAAATGCTTGGTTTGCAAAACAATTCGGTGCGCTACCTATGCAATGAACTAGGCGCGTCTAATTACACCCTCGCGAATTCCTTACGCTTGCTTGATGTGCGACAAAATAAGTTTACTCATCTAAGCGCGCAACTCTTGCACGCGCTAAATAGGAGTGAAACGCTGCGCTCCATAAACCTGGAGCAGAATCCTTGGGCTTGCAACTGTGAGGCTCAGGCGCTGCATGCGTTTGTGCGTAGCAATCGCGTACGCTTTCCTGAAGTGAAAAATCTAAAGTGTAATGAGCCAAAGCAAGTGCCGCTGGTCGAACTCGCTTACCGCGACTTCTGCCTTCCTGATTTGGGTGTCAATGCGACGCTGGTTTTTACTTTAATCAGCGTGTCGGCGCTTAGCATACTGATGATCTCCGTCGCACTCTGCTACTATAAGTATAAACTGCAGCTGAAAATTTGGCTATACGCGCACGGCGCGTGTCTGCGTTGCATCAGCGAAACTGAATTGGATCGTGATCGCCGGTATGACGCTTTCATCTCTTACACTCACCAAGATGAGCACTTCGTCGAGCATGAACTTCTGCCTGGGTTGGAACGGAGCACACCACCATTCAAGGTGTGCATACACGTGCGCGACTGGGTGGTGGGTGCGTTCATATCTGAACAAATTATCGACTCTGTGGAGCAATCGTCGCGTACGATCATCGTTCTATCGCAGCATTTCATACAATCCGAGTGGGCACTCATGGAATTCCGTATGGCGCATCAGCGCGCGCTCAATGAGGGACGCACGCGCATCATACTGGTGATATATGGCGAATTGACGAACACAGATCTGCTGGATCAGGAGCTGCGCGCATACCTGAAGATGAATACGTACTTGAAGTGGGGCGAGCCGTGGTTTTGGGAAAAGCTGCGCTATGCTATGCCGCATTCGCGAGTCGGCTGGGAACGTAGTGAACGCGGCGGGAATAAGCGTTTTAATGAGATTCCACTGCATGCAGCTATGCTTAGAGCGTGAACAATTGACGCGCTTTGTGTGTAGGTGTTTGCGTCAGGTTAATGTCTTATTTTTGTGAGAGGAATTGTGTAAAAAATGCTTATTTAGAATATATGTTTTATTGATAGTAAATTGCTGCACTTATCGATACCAACTTTCTTTATTATGTTAGTGAGACCCTCTATGAAGACCATACCCGTATCTGAAGATATAAGAGGCGTACAGAGAATACATTAAGGATCTTACGGGATCGGATCTCCAACTTAATGAACTAGGTTAACTTAAAATACTAGGAGCTAAGGCAAATATACTTCTGCTGGGGACTGCCTGACTGCTTTTATTTCCACGACAGTCGGGCCTACGTAACTCGAACTACTCAGATTTATTTCTGACCAAGGACTGTCACTGACCAGAAGAGCCTTTAAACTTTGTTTTAGAGGTTGTTGGAGTCCGTATTCCACTTGGAAATGGGCGAGCTACAGCCATAATCGCGAAATCGCATGCAATTTCCAGTACCGGTAAAGGTCTCTCGCCTTACCTGATGGGGACTTTGAGGACGCATACAGGTCGCAGGACGGCCGAACAAATTTTGGAGCACAACGATGGCCAAGTTGCCGATCGGATTTCTAAGAATTATGGCAGCGTGGAAGAATATCGGGCCGGTTCCAAGCGAGAAAGATGGCAAAAAGCGGAGATATACCTGCAGAAACAGCCTCACCAGACCACCTCACGCTTAGCAGACTGTACCATATCCCCTCGACGCAGAACTTTACCAGCAAGTACAGATAATGCTACCTGCCGAGATGGCACTCCTTTGAGTTTTGTAAGGTGATGCCACAGCTGGTAACTCCGAGCCGTCGGAGGGAAGCAGAAGCCCTCATGGAAATATTTGCACATAAATAAGTTAATTGGCAATGAGGGCCCTAGGCTCATAGATGGGGCGCTAAAAATTAGTGAGGTAGTGTTTTTCAATTTAATTCATGGATTTTCTAATTAGACTTAAATGCATGACGGGGCAATGGGAAACTCCATGGCTAATGAGTTGACGAGAAATGGCGCCTGGGCGTGAGCGTAACGAACCAACTGTGGGTTACTTTTGGAAAGTTGAGCGTCATTTCAGTGCAGCTAACGTTGAGTGACGACCAGGACATATACAATTGCATGGGTTTTCTACAGCTTTGGGGGTAGGAACTGAGCCATTTTGAGCTTTGAAGATGGAGGCAGCTAAAATTATAGCAACAAAATGTGATGATAAGTAAATACGCAGGCTGAGAAAGAAAGTATGGATGCGTTTGAGCACGTTGGCGAAAATAGTAGAAATATAAACAATAAAAGACAGTGGGTAGACGCTTAACTTCTATGCCTAGAAACGGCAACAATTTGAACGGCGTTCAGATTTATGAGTCGCGAACTTAAGCGAATTAGATTCGATGATCGGTCCATGCAAAAACTTTTACAGAAAGCATAACAGACGACCAGTACAAACTGAAGAAGAAGCTCAGTTACGTAAGTGTTTCCCAGTTTGCTGCCAGTTTATGAGACCACAGTATTTTCAGCTCACTCAACAAGATTATTCCAGAATGAACGCTTGATTTATAGGCGTACAATTTCCTAAGCTTAGACTGAATCCCAAAGCGCAAGAAATACCTAGAATCAGCGAGGAAACTCCAACGCTGTGACGACTGCTTAGTTCACCTTAAATTAAGGTCATGCATGCGTGGAAGATTTCGTGGAATTTCATGCTATTAGTATACTATAAAAAGTTGTATTCAATCTAATCGCCCATTGCTGGCAGCACATCTGTACCGAGAACCCTTTGATTGGATTGCTAAATAGCATTGCCATTTACAAACAAATTGTTCTTTAATTCAATGCCGTTATTGTTTATTGGTTAATAAGTGAGCGCACCACACGGAACGCACGATACCGGCTAGTGAAGGTAGTGCAAGCAAATTCAAACGAGCGCAGTTGAACAAAGGGAGGCGCACGGTGCGACAGTTTATTTGTACATATAAGGACAGTGCGAAAATGTCAGGCGAAAAGCTTGCCCAACTTCAATCCAGCGCTGGTTTTATATTCCTAATCATTTTATTGCTGCTGAACTGGAGTGCGTTTTGCGAGGAAAAAATTCTCAGCGAAGATGTATGCGCGGCCATCGTCGCTAATGGCACCTGAAATTGCACCTACAACGCCTACGAACCGATAGTGATTCACTACAGCGTCAGCGATGAAACGGCACACATACGGATAACAGTACTCGATGAAAAGAATGTCGAGATCAGTTGCCAGGGTCGAATTGGTGTAGGCTGCAATGTCGCACATCCATGCATACCTGCAGATTTGCTCGCGCGCTTACCGCGCTTAGGCGGCATGCGCGAGGTCGACTTTCTCGACGTGCGCCACTGCTTGCCTTTTAGCGAAATTTTGAAGCGACTGGAGCTGCAGCGGAGCGACAACTTGAAGGTGCACGGCTTGGAATTTATACCCTTACTACAGCGGCGGTATTGCGGCAACGACCAGACTATGCTGAAAGACTATGCGCCTTCAGCCAGCTGAGCTCATTGACAATCGTTATGAATTTCGAGCAGTTGCCAGTTGGCATTTTTCAGCCAGTTGCGTACACGCTAAGGGAGCTATTTTTGTTAGGACGGCTGCGTGAGTCTCCGCGCGTTGCATTCAGCATATTACGAAATTTGACGCAACTGCTTATGTCGGGCCATCAAATTAATGCGCGTCTGCGCGCGGACGATTTTGACGCCCTCTCCACTCTTACCGAACTAACGGTACGCGGTTTTGGCATTACGGCATTGCCTGCACGGAATTTCCAACCGCTAGCCGTATTAAAGCATCTCAATATAGTCGGAAACAAGCTACGCCTGATACCCGCTACGCTATTGGCGCAACAGCGACACCTACAGTTATTGGACCTCAGTGACAATCAGCTGGAGGCGTTGCCGGCTAGGCTCTTCGCGTCGACAACTGCGCTGAAAAAGCTTTATTTGACATATAATCGATTGCGTCGCCTAAGCGCAGATCTCTTTCTACCGCAAAATGCACTTGTGGAGCTCTATGTGGATTTGAATGAGTTGCGCGTCATTGAAGTAGGCACATTTACGTATGCGCGCACCTGCGTGATTTGGTACTAAGTCACAACAAACTTGACTGGACGCGCGCTAAATCATGTGTTGTACTCGAGGGAGTACGTCGCTTAGAAATGCTTGGTTTGCAAAACAACAATTCGCTGCGCTACCTATGCAAAGAACTAGGCGCGTCTAATTACACCCTCGCAAATTCCTTACGCTTGCTTGATGTGCGGCAAAATAAGTTTACTCATCTAAGCGCGCAACTCTTGCACGCGCTAAATAGGAGTGAAACGCTGCGCTCCATAAAACTGGAGCAGAATCCTTGGGCTTGCGACTGTGAGGCCCAGGCGCTGCACGCGTTTGTGCGTAGCAATCGTGTGCGCTTTCCCGAAGTGATATATGTGAAGTGCAATGAGCCAAAGCAAGTGCCGCTGGTCGAACTCGCTTACCGCGACTTCTGCCTTCCTGATTTGGGTGTCAATTCGACGCTGGTTTTTACTTTAATCAGCGTGTCGGCGCTTAGCCTGCTGGTAATCTCCATCGCACTCTGCTACTATAAGTATACACTGCAGCTGAAAATTTGGCTGTACGCGCACGGCGCGTGTCTGCGTTGCATCAGCGAGGCTGAATTGGTTCCCGATCGCCGGTACGACGCTTTCATCTCTTACACTCACCAAGATGAGCACTTCGTCGAGCATGAGCTTTTGCCTGGGCTGGAACAGGTCACACCACCATTCAAGGTGTGCATACACGTGCGCAACTGGGTGGTGGGCGCGTTCATATCTGAACAAATTATCGACTCTGTGGAGCAATCGCGCCGTACGATCATCGTTCTATCGCAGCATTTCATACAATCCGAGTGGGCGCTCATGGAATTCCGTATGGCGCATCAGCGAGCGCTCAATGAGGGACGCACGCGCATCATACTGGTGATATATGGCGAATTGACGAACACAGACCTGCTGGATCAGGAGCTGCGCGCATATTTGAAGATGAACACCTATCTGAAATGGGACGGGCCGTAGTTTTGGGAGAAGCTGCGCTATGCTATGCCACATTCACGCCGTGGGTGGGAAAGCGAGAAGCGCGTAAGTCGGCGCGTTGATAACATTCCCTTGCAAACGTTGATGAAGCGCGCGTAATTAAGTTGTGCCGCGCTGTGACGGCAACTCAGCGAGAGGCGTAAAATGTCATTGGAAATAAGATGCGCGATAACGCTGCACTGACAACTAGTAATTACAGAGAATTTTTCATATTTAATTTGCATATACACGAGTAAGACACGCTCCACTCGCGACGTCAACACCTCCAATTACTCGTGTTAAACTTTATATCAATTGAATGCTTTCATTAACATATAAAATGCTTGTGCACGCAAGTTTGCGATTTCAACGATGCATGCAAAAAGTTCACATTCAGTCTATCGCCAGCGACTCGCGCGCTTTGAACGAGTATACTAGAGGCGCAAAAATGCGCCAACCACAAAACGCCACTACTTTGCAAGAAGCTGTAATTGTTCTCGCGGATTTATTATTGCTGCTCACATGCCACTGGCTGCCTTGCCAGGCTGCTGATAACAACGAACGGGATTTCACCAGCGACGTTTGCGCCGAGATTGCTGCGAATAGCACCTGCAACTGTACTTACAGCAGCAAATATGATTCAGCTTCTATAGGCTGCAGCAGCGCGGACGGTGGCACGCACATACAAATTTCAATTTACGAGAAGACCGATGTGGAGATATTTTGCACACCAGCAGTGGATATGTACCCGACTGTATCCGCAGAGCTGCTGGCGCGCGTACCGCTGCTTGGAGGGATGCGTAAGTCACTCTTTCTTGGCGTTCACCACTGTGTGCCCTTCACCGAGTTGTTGGCACACATGCAGTTGACGCACGGCAGCATTTTGCATGTACATGGTCTTGGAATGTTGCCTTTACTAGCCGCACGACATTTCGGATATAACCTTAGCTTTTTGCAGACGATAAGTGATTTGGAGTTGCTGGCGCAGCCGCAACAGCGCACATTGGCCGCAGCCCAGCAGTTAGACGATGATTTGTTTACTGCTTTTACGTCACTTTGGAGCCTGAAACTCGACTTGAACTTCACGCATTTGCCGCCGGGCATTTTTCGCCCACTGGGTGCCAATTTAATTGACTTGATGATATATGGCGGACTGCTGGAATTTCCACGCCCAGCGCTAGCGCCACTCGCGTCTCTCAACTCGCTTACCATGATGCGTCATCGGCTCACGGATCGCTTACGCAAAGATGATTTTGAGGAGCTTGGCCTTCTCGAGATTCTTACGCTACATAGCTGCAATATTTTCGAGCTGCCAGCGCGGATTTTTGAGCCACTGACAGCACTAAAGCGGCTGCGCCTAACCTCAAACCAAGTGCGTGCGCTTCCTACTGCACTTTTCGTGGCACAAAAACGCCTGCAGGTGTTGGACCTGAGTCGCAATGAGCTCGAATCGCTGCCACCTGGCTTATTTCACCCGTCCACAAAGCTAGTGAGCTTGGCTTTGTCACACAATCGTTTGCTGCAGCTCAGCGCGCATACACTTCCTACATTACACGCGCTGGTAGAACTTAATTTGGATAACAATGGCTTGCGCGCAATCGCCCCCGGCAGTCTGGCGCAAGCGCAGCGGCTGGAGATACTTATGCTATATAACAATCAGCTAAATTGGACAAGCGCTGAGGCGTGTGATGTGCTCGCGGGTCTGCGCAGCCTCAACACGCTTCAACTGCAGAACAACACGCTACATACCTTATGCGCACAGCTGAGCGCGCCCAACCACACCACCAGCCGCCTGCGTTTGCTTGATGTACGATACAATAGCATAGCGCGCTTGCCCGCGCAGTTAATCCGCACGCTGAACGACAGCACGTCGCTGAAAGACTTGTATCTCTCGCATAATCCATGGACGTGTGACTGCAGCGCCGAGTTGCTGCATGGCTTCGTAAAGCACAATCGCTTGCGTTACCGCGACATGCTTGAAGTGCGTTGCGACGATCCGCAGATGCCGCCGCTCGTTGAACTAACCTACCGCGACTTCTGCCTACCCGATCTAGGCGTGAGCTTGACATTTGTGTTAGCCTTCACTGTGCTTTCGGCCCTCATCCTGCTGGCCGTCAGCACCGCGCTTTGCTACTACAAATACAAGCTGCAGCTGCAAATCTGGCTTTACGCGCATCGGCTGTGCTTGTGTTGCATCAGCGAGACTGAACTGGATCGCGATCGTAAATATGACGCCTTCATCTCTTACGCGCATCAGGATGAGCACTTTGTCGAGCACGAGTTGCTGCCTGGCCTCGAGCATGGTACGCCGTCATTCAAGGTGTGCATACATGTGCGTGACTGGCTCGCAGGCGCCTTTATATCTGAGCAGATCATTGATTCAGTGGAACAATCGCGCCGCACAATTATTGTCTTATCACAACATTTCATACACTCCGACTGGGCGCGCATGGAATTCCGCATGGCGCATCAGTGCGCCTTGAATGAGGGACGTACGCGCATCATACTGGTGATCTATGGCGACTTGGAGAACGCGGAGTTGCTGGATCAAGAGCTGCGTGCGTATCTGAAAATGAATACGTACTTGAAGTGGGGCGAGCCGTGGTTTTGGGAGAAGCTGCGCTATGCTATGCCGCATTCGCGCGTCCGCTGGGAGGGCGACGATTGCGGCGGGAGGATGCGTTCTGATGAGATTCCATTGCATGCGGCTATGCTGAGGGCATGAACAATGGGCGTGCTTTGTGCGGAGGTGTTTGCATTCGATTATTGTTTTATTTTTGTAAGAAGAATTGCATAATAAATGTTTATTTTCATTATGAATATTAAATAGTAAGTGATTACACTTGTAGATTAGAAATCGACATTAAATATGTTTTTAATGATTTATACTTTCTTTGAATATTTTTCGAAAAGCGACTACTTATCATTTAGTGAAACCAGAGTTGCCACATGTCTGATCTTAAGCGTGGAAAAATGTGAATCCACATATAGTCTACTGGCATTTTTAAAAATATGAATTAAAAATAAAAAAAAATTAAAAACGTTTTATAATAGTTTAACAATATAGTTGCCGCTTGTATTTATTTTTATTTATTTTTTATTATAAAATAAGTGAGAAAATGCGTAAACAAAATTTTTCTTATAAGTTTCAAAATGTGGGTACTTAAGTAAAAGTAAAAAAGAATAATTAACTTAAAACAGGGTTGCCACTCAGCTTGGCGATTTGATTTTTAGGCCCGAATGTATAAAGGAATGTATAATAAGGATAGCAAACTAAAATAAACGATTAATTGAAGACAGGGTTATCACATGCATCACCAATATGATTAAAATAACAATATAATCTTTTCTTTGGTGATATTGGTTCAAAAAAACACAACAATTTTCACATAAAAAAACTGACTTAAAAAAGTTTAATCCTTAATTACTTTAGAACAGAGTTAACACATAGTTTTTTGGCAATATAATAAAAATTTAAATTTCCATACTAAGAAATTTTCAAATATATTTAAACCGATAAAAAGATAAACTTTTTTAATAAATTAAGAAAGGAATTTTAAGATTTTTTAGCACGAAAATTTAAAAGAAAAATACCACACATTGAATATTGGATTACAGTCGTCAAAAGAAGTAAATTGTTAAAACCAGGGTTACCGCATGCATAGGCAACATAATAAAAGTTGAAATGTTGGAATGGAACACTAATTAAAAGTTTTTAATTCAGGGTTACCACAGAGTTTTGGGATTTTAAAATTATCAAACACAAAAATTATAAGAAAATTTTGAAAAAAAAATTTACAAATTTAATTTTCACTTAGAAAATGACTTCAAAATATTTCGGAGTGGGTTCATTGGACAAAAAAATTCAAAAAAAAGCTTAGTTGGGTGCAGAGTTATCGCAAAGAATAAGGTAATTTTAAATTTCTATAAGAGTTATTGAATTAAAAAATCACTTTTCAGTAGCTAAGAACAGGGTTATCAATTTCTTTTTTGAGATTTTTTAATTTAGAAAAACAAAAAAATTGTCATTTACCTCATAAATACATAAACAATTGGCAATCTGATTATCAGTCTAATGGCTTTGAAAAAAGCAATTATTCTTCACTAATTATAACGACAGGGTTGCCATATATGTATAAATTTGTTTGAAATCTTTCTGTCAGCCTCCATGGATCTAGGGAGCTCACTATATAGCCTTACCCCTTAGTCTTCAGCCCGCTCCACTTACTGTGTGAGGGCTAATCAGCTGCTCTTTATATCTGTGCTTTTTTTATAATTTTTGTGATAAAAATTTTGAAACTTGTAAGCTGTCTACTTACTGACCAGAAAACCCTTAATTTGTCAAAAAATGTCAAGCGGACGCCTAAGGACACACATGCAAGACACTCTAGCGATTGGCAATCAATATGAGCTGTCATGTTAACTATCGCTGGTAAGGTGCTCGAAAGCGAATGAAAGGAGGAAGAATGGAAAGAGTGAAATAAGTAAAGGAACTTCACAGGAAAATCTACCAAAAAAAAAAAAAAAA